GCTGCTGCTGCTGCTGCTGCTGCTGTTGCTCGCCCGAAGCAGTCGATGCATGGTTGGACATGGCTGTCGAATCATACGCTGGTTGCGCCGAGGAGGATGTTGTTGTTGTTGTTGGTGATGCCGACGCCACGTCGGTTGGGTGGGTGGCGTGTCGCACGGCCGAGTCTACGGAAGGCGACGAGAGACGAGGCGATGCGGGGGCCATGGCGGAGGGGCTTGCGGCGACGGGGCTCTGACGTCGGATGCTGCAAGAGGCGGAGGCGGAAGCGTGATGCATTGAGCCGCCGGGGCTGGTGTTGCCGCTGGCGGCGTGGGCGTGGTTGTAGTGATGCGTTGCTGCGCTCATACTTGTGTCGCCATGCTCGGACCAAGGGGGCGTCTGGCCAGGGTTGGTAGGAATGGCGACGATGAAGATGGCGACCGACGCCAAGGAGCAAAGATGCGCGTGTCCTGGCTACGACGTTGGCGGTTCTATATCACCCGAGGCGTATCTCAATCGAGATGAAAATGATGATGATAATGATGATGGCGAGAAGATATGCAGCCTTTGTTGAATGGCGATGGTGTGCGGCGACGATTAGCTGGTGAGGTTGAAAGGATGCCAATGGCGAAGAGAGCAAAGAGAGCGAAACGTCGAGACGGTGAAGAGAGCTTAGCAGAGCGCGCGCGTAACCAGCTGGAGGAATGTGCAAAGAGGGCCGGTCAGGCGATGGATGCCTAGGTGTCGAGAGGTGGAAGGAGGGGCTGAGGCAAGAGTGGCGGCTGGTGGTGCCAAGCGGAGGCAGGCGAGAGAGGCCGAGAGCTTAGCCAACGGGCGAGGCAGTGTGATGTGAGCGGTGTATCGGCGGGAGAAGCGATGGGGGAGCGCAGAATGTGCTAAGCGAGACTGCGACTTTTGGCCGGCGGTGTCGGGCTGGCCGAGTGAGTGAGTGAGGAACAGAGTCGTTGCTGCTCGCACACGCACACATACACACAAACCCGACTGCCGGATCCAGTTTGGGTTGCGTTGGTGCGATGAGCGTCGGTGGTGGTGATGGATGAGAGTGCCCAACGCCTTATTTTGCACAGGCAGGGGTGAAAAAATGAGCAAAGCAGCGGTGAAAGCAGCGGTGCGGTGCGGTCTCGGCTTTGGTCAGCTTGCCCAGGCGCGGCACTGCCGACGAGACAATGGTCAGCGCGCTGCGCGGTGGTGTCACGCCCAGCCCAAGCCGCTCTCTCTCTCCTAACCGCATCATCACCCGTTGCTGCTGCTTAGCATAAGCCAACTCGGCCGCAATTCCGCCCTCCAATTCCCCCTCTTTTCGGCTCATCCGCTTCGCCCTCCCTATTCACCCACACAAAGAGAACACACTATCAGCCACATGCTCACTCCATCCCATCCAGCATGAAAGCCGTGAGAAAAGGCAGGAAGTGCGGATGTGCAGCAGGCGAGCCAGGTGCACGGTCGACTGGACGCTGAGAAAAGGGCAGTAATTCGGGTCGCGGCCGATGCGCAGGTCCAGAGCAGCGGGCATCGAAGCATCTGCCTCGCGCGCGCGCCCAACTGACTCCACTGGCCGCCCCTCCTTCTTAGGTCAGGCTGCAGCACACGCATGAAGCCGCGCCGAGACCTTGGATTTTAGACTCGTCTCTTGCAAAGCGGCCGCGCGGGCGCCCAACATCAGCTCAGCGTGCATGGGCGTGCCTGAGTCGCAACCCTCTCCCCCCCCCCCCCCCCCCCCCCCC